AAAATTGTTTTAGGTGCTAGTTTTGGCCGTATTTATGATACTTGCAACAAAATCGATATTTTGGGTTACGGTATTTAAAAAATAAAATAACAAAGAAGCTTGGTAGTGAATTTTCAGTTTTTAAATAGTAACAAGAGAAGTATCTGACCCTAAAACCTTGAAATTTCCGGAAAAAATTGATATTTTTTTGATAAACGTTCTTTATAGCGCCTCCAAGCAGAAAATTTCAATTCGAAATTTCCCTACAGTAGTCACGGCCCGATGAAATTGACATGGATGCAAAACAGCTATGGAAAAAACCCAATTTTCTATGATTTTTTTGATTTTATTACATGAAAAGATGTATTTAAACACGCTGAATCCATAAAAATCGGTTTCGATAGGGCTTTATCTCTTAGTTTTTGAGATAATGCGGTATTTACTAAAATTGAACTAAAATCAAGTGAATTCCACAGTTTTCAATAAGCATTATCAAAAAAACTATGTAATAAAGCCCTATCGAGACCAGATTTTTCGGTTTCAGCGTGTTCAAATACGTCTTTTCGTGTAATAAAATCAGCAAAACCATAGAAAATTCGGTTGTTCTATAGTTGTTCCGCAACCGTGTCGATTTTGCCGGGCGTTGACACGCCTAACTTTCGAAAGGAAACATTTTCAGATAGAATAGTCAACTGAAAAGTTGTTTCTGATATAATTTGTGAAAACTCCTCTGTTGGTCATTTTTTGTAATCATGACTAGATTTTGAGTTATAAGTCGCAGAAGATGAGGTATGTTAGGTATAGGAAAAAAATCATGAAAATTCATTCAAGGCAAATCTCAGATGACTTTCATAACGGTTTCCTAGATTTATGACAGAAATTGTTATATCATATCTGACCTTGGGTTCGAGCGAGCCCAGATAACTTTCTTTACTGCTTTAGGGCTTCTAGAAATTTTTTTTTTCCTATTTCGCCCTTTCAAGATCCTAGAAGGTGTCCGATTGGTTAGATATCGTTAAGATATGCAGCATAGAGCAATCTGAATCTACTGGTAGTACTCTGACCAAACCAAATAACTAGGTTGAATTATCTGTGGCCTAAAAACTTTTTGAGTTTTTCGAATTGCTACAAATGGACCCCTTAAAACCTCAAACTAATCCAAATTGCTTTCCAAAAAAAAAAGTTCAAAGAATTGCTCTAAAGATTTCTAAAGAAAAAAAATCCAAAAGAAGAATAAGAAGTCAAAAAGGAAATGGAAAGTATGAAGAGATGAAGAGGGGGGATGGATGAAGAAGGAGGCGGAGTATAAAAGGGTACAAAAAAAGGAATAATGTGAGTGTATGGCCGAAGAAAAAAGCAAAAAAAGGAAAGGAAAGAAAGAAGGAAAACGAGTTTAATGGAATGGGTCCTCTACGCCCTAAGGGTGTCCTTTTTGCTCTTTAGGAGCCGGAGCAAACGTGGCGAAAAGGGGCGGAGTCTTCTTTGAAACACTCGAAAAAACAAATATTTGGGGAGGAGAAATGGATGGATGGGAGGAGAATATGTGTTGTTTTACGTCATGCGATACAAGGCAACAATCGCTATGGTGACGCCTTAGCAATATTCGGACCAGCCTTAAAGGCGCATGTATTTTTTTCGGAAAGGGACATCGTCATCATTGAAAATGTGTTTTTTTTTGGAAAAAACGGGATGAGAAATAAGGAAATTGTAAAAAAAAAAAGAAACCACCCCGGATCAGAACTGATCGAATCAGAATCTATGTTTTGGGCTCTTGCAGGAATTTTGTTTTTGCAAAAACTGGGATTTAAATATATCGAACTGTAGAGAAAACTATCCTCTATCAAATGTAATAAATTTAATGTAGGACTGTGTCAGAAGAGTCTGTTAAAACAGGGAAAAACTAATTTTCTGTACTGAGTACTTCAGATTTTCAGCTTTTTCCCTGCTCCTCTTCTGATGGAGCCCTATATGAAATTTACACCATTCGATAGGGAATTTTTTTCTCTACAACTTCAGATATTTGCATCCCCAGTTTTTGCAGTATAAATGCTCCCGGAAGACCCAAAAACCTGGGCTCGCATTCGGCTGGTTCTGTTTTGGGGTAGTATCTATGTAGTTACGGCAGAATCAAGGTTTTCACAAGGTCTTAACAATTGAATCCTGGCTGGTTCTGATCCGGGCTAGTCTCAGAAAATGCAGTTCAAAACATATGGAGTCCAGATTTATAAGTACGAATTTTCGAAGAGGTTCAGAAAAATCTAATAACGACGGTATAGATTTTTTAATGTGCTAAAGCAAAAATGATGTTACCATATTTCCATAAAAAAAAGGCATTCAGCTATATTTTTGTATAAAAAACAATGCTCATTCAGCAATAAATCATACCAAAGTTTCAGATGGTACTAAAAATTGGAACCATACTTGTCGCAGGCCGGGCCGGACCCGGCCCCAAGGGCTTGGATTAAAAAATTTTTTTCGCGCCTTCTCCCAAAGTTGAATTGTTGCTATGAGTTCTACTAATTTTTTTCAAAGTTCAAAACAGTTCTCATACGTAACAATTTTTTTCGTAGTACCACCGTTTGAAACCCAAAAAAAACGAAAATTCCGAAAAAAAATTACTTATCTTGTTCAAAAAAAAAACTATCACATAATAACACGAATCATATAAAATAAACACCCATAGATTCCACTAAAACTAGTTTCCCTGCCACCTCTACTATGAGGTTGGGTAGGTTTAACATAATAATGATGATGACATTCATACATCGTACACCATTTCGTGTTTTTTCCTGGGAATGTATGTTTTGAAATGAGGTGTGATTTTTTGAACCTAGTTTTTCATTCAGATCAGGATCAAAATTTATTCTTGAATGGTTAGGTTACAAAACATTTTTTTTCGGGAAAAATTCTAAATGTACCGAGGTCGGATCGATTCTGACAAAAAATTATCTCAATAAGGTCTGCACCGAAAAACCTAAAAATATCCTAAAAAGAGTCCAAAGAATGAATGTAATAAATCAGTATTACTTGTGTTGGCGGTGGTTTTGTGGTAAGAGGGAAAAAAAAAATCATTTTTCCAGTGGAGGTGGTGATAAATCATTGAGAGATATTCAATCAAGGAGCTATGGAATGAAAAAAAAGAATATTTTAGATTGGGATTCAGAAGGGATAGGGACCAAGTTTGATTTTCGATTTTTTGGGTTATGAAATTTTTACCTCGATTGTTCTAATTCACAAATAGGTTTTTGAAGATTCAAAGTTAAAAAAAATCTTGAAGCCGGGTTTGAGCTTGTAGAATTTTATTTTTGTTATTTCAAAAGTCCAGTTTTTCAAAATCAAACTACATTTAAATTTATTTTTCGAATTTATTAAAAAAAAAACCAGGCAAGAAGGTGTTGGCTTGTGCTTTACAGCAGGCTCTGAGCCAGATATTCTCCTTTTCTGAGCCAGAATTTATAATTCTTTCAGTTTTATTTTCGAAATTTCACTATTTCACGAAAATGGATAAAAAACTGTTTTTTTTCGGACGGACTAACCCAAAAACTTTACTAATTGCCTAACGCGCCTCCGGCGCTTAGGCAGTCCACTGTGAAACCCGTAAGAGCCATAACTCCCCGGTACTCAATGTTTAGAACAGCATATCTTAGTTGTCTTCAGAGTTATCAAAAAGTTTTTAACTGATGAAATGTTCAAAATGTTTTGCTGAACATATTTTTAGTTGACCACTTTTTGATAGCTCCTAAGGCAACTAAGATATCCTGCTCAGAACATGCAGTGCCTGATGGCTTAGAGGATCTCCGGTATTTTTTTTTAGTTTTTCTCATAATTTTTTTCTTTTTTTTTGGGTTGTTTACTCAGATATTAAATTCGAATCTTGCATAATTTCGTAGGTTTTTTGAAACAAAGTTTTTTTTTAAAAAACAAAAAAAAACCTCACCATCATCCACTGTCGTCGAGAAGGTGACCCGTTCCTCCGTCGTGTCATTGGAGGAAGACGTCGTTTCGACATCTCCCATCTGCAAAAAAAAATGGGATAAAAAATGAGAAAATGGTCAGGAAAACGGGTTTGAAAACAGAAAAAAAGAAAAAAAACTGAAAACTCTAAAACGACCTCACAGAAAACATGTTAGGATAATCACCAAAAAAAAGTCGTAATCCATAAAAATCCGGGAGCAAAACTGAGCGGAGAAAGGTCTCAAAAACGGAAAAATATCCCAAAAATTCTGCTGAATTTTCGAAAAATTCCAGTTTCTTTTACAAAAAAAGAGCAAAAAATGAGCACAAAACCCTAAAAAAGGCTTGAAAATCCATTAAACCGCTCCTCTTTTTCTTCTTTTTCTTCCTTTTTTCCAACAAAAAAAAAAACAACAACCATTCCTTCCGGCACAGCCACCAACACCACCACGAAAAACTTTTATGGTCCTTCTCTCGTGTAACTCTCTTTGCTCCTTTTTTCTCTCCGTCTCTCCATCCCTCCCCTTTTCTTGGATAATCAGAAATGGTGTGGTGGTCTCGGGGACCTAGAAGAAGAAGCAGAAGAAGCAGAAGAAAGTGTCTAATGTCTCCACTGGAAGACGTGATATTGCTCTGCGCTGTCTAGGTGTCTGCGTCTCTCTCTCTCTCGCGCTGGAGCAAACTGGAGATGATGGAAAGAGCAGCAGCACAAAAGATGTTGGAAGGAGGAGGACGGCGGGGAAATAAGGAGGAGAAGAAGCGAGTAAAGAAGTTACTGAACTTTCTCCCTTCCTCATCTCTTTTCATTTGGAAGAATGGGGACAATAGGTTCCCTCCTGGAGGAGAATAGGGAAGGATTCTGGAAGATTGAATAGAAAAGCTTAGGAATTTGTTATTAGTTTTCTTCTTGGATTTTGGGTTAGAAAAGTAAAAAGACTACAAAATATGCAGGAAGAGGTCAAAGGTAACCTGGGTTTCTTGGATATTTTTGGATTTTTTTGAATAGAACGTGTTGGAAGGTGTTGCTGGCTCGAAAATAGAAGAAAAAAAAGAAAAAAAAAAAGATTTGACCCCACCGGGGTTCGAACCCGGGATGAAAAATTCTAAGACAACAGCGCTACCAGTTAGGCCACGGGGGCCGTTGGCTTAAAAGCGCAGGGTGGTCTTCGGCACAAAAAAAAGTGGTTTGAAACAGTCCAAGAGTGCCTCGAATGGCCTAAAAAGCAAAGATTTGATTTGATCTCATCATTTTTGCACAAAACTTCAAAAAATACAGTAATATATCAATAATCGTGGCGAGACTTCCCACAAAATGATCAGAAAAAAAAGGTAAAAAGGAAAAAGGAAAAAAAAAAGATTTGACCCCGCCGGGGTTTGAACCCGGGATGCAAATTTCTAAGACAACAGCACTACCCGCAAGGCCACGGGGAGAGTTAACTAAAAGGCACAGTGCGGGTTTCGGCACAGAAAAATTGGTTCTAGCACAGCTTGAAATAGTCGAAAACGGCTTGGTATGACCAAAAAACATTCTAAATCCGCCTGGAACGGACTTTTTTTCACAAAACCTCAAAAAATACAGTAATAGATCTACAATCGGGGCGAGACCCTTCGCAAAACTTTCCTGGCCGATCAAGATTCAACCAGACAATTTCTAGGTACAACCGCGGTTCAAATAGTTCCAAAATCACGAAAAAGGTGGTCAAGTGACTTCGAGAAGAAGAAGAAGAAGTGATAGAAGTGAAAAAGAGAAGACTTGGCGAGGAAAGATCAAAAATAAAGATATCGAAGGGGCGACAGGACACACACACACCGAAATTTTTTGTGACTGGCGTGAAAAAAGAAGAAATTGGGAGACAAATGGAAGTGGAATATTCCGAAAAGATGATGACTTAAGATGGATCGACTTGTTGTCGCAGTAGATTTTTTTTTCGAAGGTTCAGAATAGAAAATTTTTTGGAGCTATTATTTTATGGCGCTCCAGGAATTTTTAGGAAGCTCGAGGATGGCAAAAATGGCCCGAAAGTAGCAAAAATGACCGAGCAGGGCCCGAAAAGCTTACCGTAATTCTTGGAGATTAGGGGCTCAGTACGGTATGTTTACAGCACCATATCTCGATTGTCTTGAAAGCTATCAAAAAATTTTCAACCAGTGAAATATTCAAAATGTTTTGCTCAATATTTCTTCAGTTGACTTCTTTTTGATAGCCTCAAAGGCAACTGAGATATACTGCTTTGAACATATAGTGGTGGAGTTACGACATAGGCTTATTGGTTAGGAGGACTGTTTTGGAAATTTTGATAGCGGGTTGGAACCGGAGCCGAATCTTTTTTTGTATTTTGGCGTTCTGTTTGGTCTTAAAACGCGCACTAAACGACAGGATTTACTAATTTCATTTCTAACCCCATATTTTCTCCATACATCAAGAACCATGAGAAAAAATGAAGAAAAATGACGAATTATAGCTTCTCCTCGTTCACATTTTCTCATACATTTTTCCTATATACACCTCGTGGTTTTCTTTCACTGACTCTAATTTTCATCACTTATTTTTGTACTCAAATGTGAGGATCATATGAGACAGGAGATGCAAAAAAAAACGTGGGAGAAAAACATGTATTGTGGGAAAATTAAAGACGCAATTGCAGATAAAAGTGACGATATGTACGTGGGAAAGTGATGATCTTTTCAGAGTTTCAGGAATGGTGGATGCAAAAAAATTGAGATGGATTAGGGATCTGGATTCTGGATTTTGGAATTTCAGAGAAAAATTTTTTGGAAAAGCGGTGAATTCGAATTTTTCTTTGCAAAATAGAAATTACTTTGATAATTTCGGCTCGAAATTGATACTTACTGTTCTTTTTTGGCAAATTTTCCGGTTTTTCAATAGATTTCCCGGAAATTTTTTCGATTTTGAATTGTTTTTGGCGGAAAAGTTTTCCGTCGGAACAGAGCTGCACTTTGACGTCTGACCCCAAACTTGAACTGAACTTAAAAAGCTAGACTCCGTCTGAAAAAACAAAAACACGGAACTAAAAGTGAGGGTCCTGGCTTTTTTCGACGGAAGATACTATCAAGAGTTTCCATTTACGTCACAAAAAACTTGAAAAACCTTGAAAAAGAAAAAATTGGTATTGAATAAAAGCTTTTCGAGCACCAAACAGACAATTAAAAGTAGTTTTTTGTTATTGTTTTTGAAGAGAGGACCATTAAAATTGAAGTTTTTTCCTGAGTGAAAAATATAGGAAACGATGGATTATCGAGAAAAAAAATTGCATGCGCCTTTAACGTACCGTAAATCCCGTAATGAAGGCTCGCTAAGTTTGGAGCAGCATATCTCGGTTGTCTTTAAAGCTATCAAAAAATTTTCAACAGATGAAATGTTAAAAATGTTTTGCTTAACATTTTACTAGTTAACTACTTTTTGATAGCTTCATAGGCAACCGAGATGCATGGCTCTGAACATACAGTACTGTAGGGCAGTACTGTAATAGAGGTAATCAGTGTTCAGAGCAGCATATCTCGGTTGCTTTTGAAGCTATCAAAAAATTTTCAACTGGTAAAATGTGTAAAATGTTTTGCTTAATATTTCTTTAGTTGACAGTTTTTCGATAAACTTGAAGAAAACTGAGAAATACTGCTCTGAACATACAGTGGGTCTCTTATTCAGGATCATTCGGTGAATCAACCTCTAACTTACCGAAACTTAATTTCTCATTTTTCTGGTCTAATTTTTCAAAAAGACAGCGATTATCTGGTTGAGACCTGTACAAAAAAAACTATTACATGCTCCTTTAAAATAACTAAACCCCAACACTATATCCCATGCCATTCTATTAGACGTCTAGCTGAAAGGTATCTTCTGTTTTTGACATGTATCTATCTTTTTTGGTTCCTCCATTCCATTTCTATAAAGGAAAAAACAATTTACCCTCTCCGCCAAAACCCAAAAAAAGAACCAAAAATCAGAGTATCTTCTTCTTCTCCTTCCCCAAAAAAAACTTGAGAAAATAAAGAAAAACAGCCGGCTGCTTGTTGCCCATAAATGATATATTTTGATGGCTGGAGTTTTTTTTTGTGGAAGAGAAGGATAGGAAAAAAGAAGGGGTTTCGAAAAACACCACCACATGGAGGAGTCAAAAAGAAGAAGCAAAAAGAAGAGGGGGAATCTTTGTGCCCCCTTCCTTTGTTTCGTGCCTTTTGGTCATTTATCAAGAGGAACGAAGGGGGGAGGAGGAGATGAGAAGAGCATTGGGATGGGATGGGATGGGATGTAAAAATGAGAGGTTCCGATTGAAAGGGTCAAACGGTGTTGATTTACCTTAAAGGCGCACGCAATGGTTTTTTTTGTTGGAAAAGTCTCACCATAACGGCCGAATGAGAACCCAGGTTTTAGGACCTTCCGGAAGCATTCATTTTCCAGAACCTGGGAATGTAAGTAAATGAATGTGTACAGAAAAAAATTCTCTATCGAATCGTACCAATTTCATTGTATCAGAAAATGAGCTGCAAAAAGCTGAAAAACCGACCACTCAGTGCAAAATAGGAGTTTTTTTCTGTGTTGACTGAAATCTTCTGATACAACACTATACGAAATTAGTACCATTCGATAGAGATTTTTTTCTCTATAATTGCATATCTGTACACCCCCCGTTTCTGGAAAATGAAGAGCTGCTTCTAGAAATTCTAACAATTGAGGGAAATATACCTGCTCTGCGCCTCCAAGGTAAATGCTCAATTTAACCATTTTGACCGTTGCGGGACAGTCAAGCCCAGCAGATTCTCAAAACTCAGTCACCTACTATCAGCTCAAACGAGGGTTTCATTCTTACAGGTACTAGCCACATGACGCGCCAACGGCGCTTCCGCAGTCTACTTCACTAAATGTTCATTGAGAACTATTTGTTCAGAGCAGCATATCTCAGTTGCATTTAGAGTTATCAAGACGTTTTCAACAGATGAATTGCTTGAAATGCGTTGTTCAACATTTGTCTAGTTGACCACATTCAACAATTTTCAAAAGCAACTGAGATATGCTGCTTTGAAAATTACTTTACCTTTTTTATCGATGTTAGGGTAGTTGTGTGATTTATGATTGGCTATTTTTCATCGTTTTTGGAAAATAAAGAGCTGAAATTTGAAAAATGAAATTGCAAGGAAGTTTTGCTAGAAGCTACTAAAAAAAAGTAAGCAGAAATGATTAGAAACATTGATCAAAATCGTTCAATCTGCCCTAGATTACGATAGCTACTTGTCCAAATTTAAAGGAGCATGGTAGGTCAAAAACTGAAAACTCTAAAATAATTCAAATGAAATTCAAACGCCTCCGAAGCCCTAAGATTTGAAATTTAGTATTATAAGAAGCCAATCAAGTTGCCACTTCGGAAATTTGAACAGATTTCTAGGGATTAGGCTTTAATTTTAGGATAACACGCCTCAAATACCTTGAAGATGAAATCCAAGAGCTTTGACGAGAGATTCTAGGTTATCAGACCTCAACTCAAAGGTTTTTCCCACCTAGATTTCCTCTAGACTACTATAAAAATCGTCTCAAAAATACGAAAAGTGGTGTATTTGGGGGGAAGGCGAAAGGAGAAGAAGTGTCGATTGGCTCTTATTAGATTCTCTCTTCACTTTTCTCTTGGGAGCCCTGAGCAGAGCATAAAAATATACTAAGAAGAGGGAGAGAGAGGAAAGGTTTTTCCTGGAAAAATGTACCACAAATGAGGCTTATTTTCGAAAATGAATATATGAAATATTATGAAAAAAAGAGAAGGAAGAGGGCGGATTTTGCAGAGAATGAGGAGGAGGAGATTGTACTTTTTGTACTTTTATAGGGAGGTGGATTTGCAAGAAAATAGGTTTTCCAATTACATGAGCACATTGATTTATATACCCTAAGAAGCTTAGCTCTTTGCTTGTTAAGCAGCGCCAGTTGAATCCTTTGAGCAGCGCGCGCTTTTTTATTAGCTGAGCAGCTCCATTTTATTAGCTAAGCAGATTCATTTTATGAGCTAAGCAGTACCATCTCCTCAACTAAGCAGCGGCATCCTGTTTGCTAAGCAACGCTATGTTATATAACTGAAGTAGCACCATATTTTTACCTAAGCAGCACTATTTTTTCAGTCACTTGATAACCTAAGCAGAGCCATTTTATTAGCTAAGCAGCGCCCTCGTATTACTTAGGCAGTGTCCTCGTATTACCTAAGCAGCGCCATCCTATTCGCTAAGCAGAGCCATTATATACCTAAGCAGTACCATCTAATTGGCTAAGCAGCACATAGCTGAAGTAGCATCATTTTTATACCTAAGCAGTTATATTTCAGCGCTGCGCCATTTATCAACTAGGCAGCGCCATTTTGCTACCTAAGCAGCACCAACCCAGTCTGACTAAACCCTAAAAATAGGTTATCAAAATCATGCTAATTCACCCCAAACACGAAAAATGTGACTTTTCTATTTCTGTGTATCATGATCATCATACTTTTTTTCTGAATAGGGATTAATCAAGACCAATTCATCAGTGGAAATGAATCCGGACACTTTTGTGAAGGAGGACGAGGGCATGAAAAGAGTAGAAGGATTAGAAGAAAGTGCACCAGAAATCATTGAGGTTATTTTCAGGGGGTGCGGAAAACCTTAAAGGCGCAGATAATGGATGAAACGCCTTTGGGACGTTTTGAAACCCGACTTTTTGTAACTATGACGACCTGCAACTTGCAATAAACGCAACATAGAGCCATACAGTCATCTGATAACAGTTGCGAATTGTCCAAGTTTCAAAACGACTGGTTGCGAAATGTCGTAGAGCCAAAAAAAAAAACCGTCAAACCCCTCAATTTTTTATTTGGGAGCCCAGAGCCCATTGTCCAAAAACGGTCTAGTATCCCTTCAATTGGGACTCTTAATGGCGGGACATCTCCCCACCACCACCCTCTTCAGAATCTAATTAGGCTCGTTTCAATTGTTCTCCTCTTCTTTTTTTTTTGAAGCCTCACGACGCCAAAACGAAATTTACATTTCAATGACCCATTGTTAAAAGAGAGAAGTGGAATGGGAAATGCACCGCCAAATTAGCCCATATTTTTCTGAGAAAAGAGGGTTAATTCTCGATGAAAAATATGTGTTTTGGTAGGGTGTAGAAAAGTTAAATGAAGGGAAATGTGTAGATCTATTGATTTTCCATGCACCCAAAATTCTGTAATTCAGACAAACCCAGTACTGTGAGAAGAAAAAGCTGATTCATTGTTCATTCTGCTCAAAAAGTTGACCATCGTAAAGTATAACGCCGAGTCTGCAAACACCACAACTGACACTTCACGTCAAAATGCACAGATATTTTCTTGGCCACTCTTGAGACGACCTGCCGAAACTCTAAATGTCACCTAACCTCTGAATATTCTGATCCTAATTTTTTTTCATTGAAAACGATCTCTGCATTAACCAATCTGTTTCCTGTTATGATGTAAGTCACCATTGGGGATGGTCGGGTACAGAAACTGTACCCGCCATATGTATCAGTATGAAAACATTTATTACGAATAGAATCCCAAAAGAGTTGTCTCATGCTTTCGGGTACAAATTGGAATTCGGTGCTCGAAAAATCTTCAAAATGAATGAGGCTACCACCGAGCAGAACTGGCCGAACCAGAGCCCAAATTTTGGGATTCTGCAGGAACATCGATACAGAGAAAACTGAGAATGTGGATGTGAACATGTAAAGTTGAACAGAATAAGATTGTCTTTCGAATGATATGAACTTCATATAGGGTTGTATCGGAACGTTCCTGTCAAAACTGGAAAAACCGGATTTTCCGTACTGCGAGCTACAGCTTTCTAGTTTTTTGCGGCCTATTTTCAGGTAGAACCCTGCACGAAATTCACACCAAACGATAATTTTCTCCTCTACAATTTCTTATTTGTACATCCCTTGATTTTCTGAAAATAAGGCCCTCCCAAGTTCCAAAATCCTTGTTTTTGATCCGGGGTGCCCAAAAATGGACTGTAATAAAATTAAACTTGTTAGAACTGTTGTGAAGCTATGAAACTCTTCTCAATCTGAAATTGTGACTATCCAAAAACATTTTGAATCTTGGCTGATTATTGCAGAAGGACTAAACCAAAAATAAATGAAAGAAGAAGATTAGAATTCTGAAGAAAAGCGTTGTTCAGCTCAATGGTGATATCATCTTGCTCATTACTCATATAATTGTCACTAAGACTTCTCTCTTATGATAGGAGTCCTATCCCATCTGGAACTCAACGAATTTTCTGTATTGCTCTCTTTACCACAGCCACCTCAGATTCTTCCATTTCCTACTTCCCGGAACATCGAATGTGCCCGATCATCATCGTTGTTATTCTCCCATCATCGCCAGACAGTCCTCTCTGAATTTTCCGCCCACCACCCTCCCATTTATTATAATCACACGGGAATCAGACGTCAGAAACGAAAACAAGAATTGTCTGTAATCGGAAAGGGTATATAAGGAGGGGAGGAGATAGTCATTTGAGCTGGAGAGATAACGACTACTTGCTGTGAGTTCTGGCGGACAGGAAGGCATACTGTAAGTTGATTTTTTGAGCAGATTCTGGTTTTTTAGTTCTTTTTGAAGTATCTAGTATCTTTTTAATCCTTGGCAATTGATAGTGATCTTCATTAGAACCTCTTCTTCCTTCTTCCTGAAAATCATCTGGAATTCCGTATTTCTCCAGAGCAACTGAAAGATGCAAGCTTTCCTCAGTTTTTCTTAGCTGCTCCTAGCCGTTCTTAGATCTTTTTTCTTGAAACCCATCAGGCACGACTATGGACTTTTTGTTAGTGCTGGGCACCTCTGAATAGTTAAGAATTAGTAATTGCTGGTACTGTAATTAGTGAGTGCTAAAGCCTTTTCTGGCTCAAGCTATGTCAGTTCATAAGGACAGAACTTGTAGATCTTAGTAGGGACCAGTCAGACATGACACTTCCCTTGCAGTTAGAGATGAGTAACTCTGGATAGCTAATAAGGGAATTTTTTTTCTCATGCTCGTTTGGAACTCGTTATAAATTGGTGGTCAGAAAGTAGCTGGCCCTGTGATAGGTTTCTGAAATTATCAGCCTTCCCTGGAGCCTGTGAGTCTGTAAACCTTAATCTGAAATCGCGTATAAGGGGGCGGGACCAGAGAAGGTTTCCAGACTCTCAGGCTCTATTGAGAGCTGGAAATCTCACAATCTCCTCTCAAGGACATCTTCTTCCAGGCAATCAATTTATATAAAATTCCTGACCATTTATAGGAATTCCCTGACTTTTCATGACATTATGACAGTGAATCCACGTATCTTGCCCTTGATAAGGTCATAGGCTTGCTAATTTCAGTACATGGTAGTCCTTCCTTAACTAAATTCCCGTTTTCATGTTCAGCCGGTATCTAGTTAGAGCAGCAGCTGAAAATAAAATTTTTCAACTTCCATTCAGTTCCGTCACAACCCAAAATCATCACAAAACAGTAATCCTCATTAGCCGTCTATGCAACTCAACTTCCAAATTTTTTTCAGACATCACTTTCTAAAAAAATATTTCACTTCCAAATTACATGTGTTCCATTCTTCCTCTTCTTTTTTTCTTCTTTTTTGAATCACCAGAGCGCACCTGTTTTTGTGTAAAAAAAAAGAAGTTCCGTGTCTAACTTGTTATCAGAAATCCCTCGTTAATTAATGAGCCATGTCACAAAAAACTTTTTTGTTTTGTTTCAAGTTTCAAAGCAAAGCTAGCCACACCAGCTGAAAAAGAGAGGTGTCATATGCTAATACTTGTTCTACACATTATTCAGGTTCCGAATTCATGAATTGTTGGATGACTTTGGTCCTGTAGCCATGGTGTGATCTCTGTTCTTATCTGTATTTACTATTTTTCTTGGTATGACATATAGGTACCATGGGATTCTTCACGGGTGCGCGGTACAATCATTGTACCCGGATTCATAAAGTTTATTCATTCCCAATGGTATTAAGGTAATGGCGGAACTATACGATGTCTCAGTTTACTGGTATGATAGGCTCCGCCCATTTTCAGTAATCAGGTTGTAATGGTTTTCAGTTGAGTTTGGCTGACTTTGAGCAGGCGCCGTGGACTCAAAAATTTTTCTACGGCTCAGATGGAGCATGATTCATGAAGGACGATTCTAAGCTAGTCGTTTTGGACCGGTTCTGTCTGTCGGGAAAGTGATTGTACGAAGATATGAGTTTTACAAATAATTTTGAACGGTACTGCATGCAGAGAGCGGCTCCGAGGAGTAGAATTAAGATGCAACAGCTTGTTGACCAAAAATCAGACTGTCCGCATGTCTGAAAAAGTTACTTCCTTGTCATCCCAGCATTTCCTACCAAAACTATCTTGTTTAGCCTCTTCCCGCACCTCCCAACTTCCTAGTTACCGTATTCTGACTCATTTCCATTTCAAAACTTCCTCCTTTCCCCGTCTAACAACTCATGAATCATAACCACACCCACCTGAGAATTCGCGATCAGAACTCGTTGTCTACTGCGCCGACAACGGCTCATTAGACGCGTATTCTACCTGCCACTCCTCCTCCCCATGTTCTTCTTATTTTTCAGCTTCTTTTTTTCTTATTCTTATTATTCTCCCATTCATAATTGGCCGTTTATTCATCTCTTCTATGCCAACACCCCTTTTTTTTCCTTTTCTTCATTTTCTTCACTTCATTTGTGATCAAGTCAGATGCGTTTTTTTTCTGATTCATTTTTGCTTTCGATTTTTTTTTCTTTTTCTCAAAAATTCAAAAATTTACTGAAAAGAAATAAAACAAAAAAGATTATTCAGGCAATCATGGGAGAAGTCGTCAAATGCAGGTGGTTCTTGCCTCATAGAGAGGTGGTTCACCTCATCGAGTTCACTCATGGAGTCGTGAATGGTCGTCGGATTCTGATCGTCGATGGAGAGGTGAGGAGGATTCTGGAAAAATTCTGAATGTACTTGATAGAATAGGATGCGTAGGGGCCATCTAGTAGGAGTTCTTTGGGAATATTAGTCAGTGGAGAGCTGAGTCATCGGCTATTATCTTGGTCTAGGACCGCTTAGGCTTCTAAGAAAACGTCTCCTACACTTTTCCGTATCAAAATAAGGGCTATACAAAAAAGAAAAAAAGATTTGACCCCAACGGGGTTCGAACCCGCGATGTCAGTTTCCGAAACAACTGCGCTACCCACTAGGCCACGCGGGCAACAGCCACAGACACGCAGAGGGCCTACATCTCCCGGCGGCCTTTCTTGCTTTCTCAGAGCCGATCTTTGGAGCAGAGACACCTTTGTCACATGCTTCTAGACAAAAACACCCATAAGGCCTAAATGACGGTTTCTCAATGATAATTATGATAACTACCACCGACTTTGTTTACCATTCTGAGAAGAGAAGATGTCTACGATCAAACATCACAATTAGATGACTGTGTTTTGTTATGCCGAAGATCTATGGGAGGAACCGGAAGTTGTTACAGTAGTCTTCTTGAAAAACGGAACAATTAGATCTCCCTAGATACCATTTTAGTAATGAGTCATGGGAAAAACAAGACGATTAGCTAGCTGATAGATGAGTCACACAGACATCAGGCCCTAGAGACTAGTGATCATAGAAAGTGATATCTTGGGTTACATCATTGCATGCGCCTTTAAGGTCCCCAACCAATCCTGCTCATGTTTCCAGCAAATCTTCCGTCGTGACCGTAACCCCAACTGCGGTAATGAGGAATTCAACATCGGAGTTCTCGCATGTATACTCAAAGTCGGCAAGACTGAGGACAAACACTTTGAGTACTCACTGGAGATCAATGGAATGAAGTTCACCACGTTCCGTGATATGCAAAACAGACGCTATGATCGTTGGGAGACCAAGACACACAATGGGATGTACATGATTGTTCTCGGTGAGTTTTGGTGAATATGAGGGGTTTAGATCTGATTTCATAACTTTTCAGACAAGAACGACTTGAAGGTGACTGCAAATGGAATTATGATCAGATCATACGTAAGTTTTCTTTGCCGGGACCATTGGGAATTAAGACAGTTTATGATTTCAGAGACGCTTCGAGCAGGACCACGCCGTTACAAGATTCATCTTGGACAATCGACAATTCAAAATTGTGTCA